CGCACGGCTCGTTGGGCGCCAGCAGCAGTATTGGTAGTGGAGGCAGCAACATGGGTGATGCTAGAAGTAGCGCTGGCAGCAGTAGTTCAGCTTCGAGCAGCAAAGCAGAGCGTGACAAGAATAACGCGTCGTTAAATGCGCTCAGTTCGCTATCGCAATTCGGTGCACTCGGCATGAGTCCGCAGCAGAGTATGCAAGCGGCAATGAATGCATTTGCTGCCTCCAATCCAGCAGCGGCAGCCGCAGCAGCAGCAGCAGCATCGGCAGCGGCTAGCGGAGGCAAAAGTGGCAAGGATTACATGTCATCGGGTATACTCAGGTGAGTGGGAGGAAAGTGATATGGATTGTCTTGAATTTTATATCATATGAAGGATGTTATATAAATTAATATGTGTGCAGTGGTGCAGATAACAATTTGTATGGTGTGGTGCTTGCAAATATTTTGGTTTTTTTTTTGTATGTTTTTGGTTTCGAATTTTGAATTCTAATTTTTAATTTTTGATTTTTTTGTATTTCTTTTATTCTCGGCATTTCGTACGATTTTGTCCGCAACAAACCAATGAATTTGCTCACTTTTATACGTTCAAAAAATTACACCTTGGTTTTGCGTAGTGCTGCACTGGAAGGAAAGTAAGAACCTTCATTTATTTAATAATACATACCATTTATCAATACTGTTGTTGTATACATGCATACACACATACATACATTCATACATGTGCATTTCACACATATGTACACATATTTACGTTTGGTCAAAAAATGGTTTCTAAATTTGAATTTTTTATATGGAAAAATAAATTTTCAAACGCAGATTTCAGTCGGTATATTCATATCCATATGTAAATATGTACATGCATCCGTACCTTCATTCATACATATATACATACATACATACATAGTCTATGTCATTATTTAGAATAAAAGCTAGATGCTATTTATTAGAGCTGCATGCGTAACTCAATTTCCTAGGCTATTCTCAAATATTCAAAAGTCCCAAGTTGACCGAGCTTTGCTCGGAGTTCATATACTTTTTAAAGTTTTCAAGTTCTGGATATCAAATAATGGTCATTTGGATAGCTTTAAAAAATATTTTGGAAAAAATTTAAAAAAAAAATTGGATTTCGATATCTATTAAGTAAATTTCTTACTTTAAAATTTAGGTGGCAACCCTATATAGAAATACGCTGGAATGAATAGAACATATCTTCAGCGTATATATACTGTGTATACATACAAAAAAATGCTGATTGAAATTAACAAAATAAATACATATTTGTAATACATAGAATCGTGGCAACTCTGTTCGAAAATATGTTCAGACCAAAGTTCTCAACAATACCTTTCATTTGATATCCATATTGCGATGTTTTAGATAAATTGTATAGAATCGAAAATAAGTGGCAACCTTACACTAATACCCTAAGGGATAACTCTTTGTTTATAAGGAAAGCTTTGTNACCTTATACGAGTCTTCTCGGAGATAATACCTATTCAGATAACCTTAAAATGCAAATCATTATCTGTGTACAAAATTTCATCAAAATCGTTAGAGCCGCAGAGTTTACGGATTGGCAAAAAAAAAACCAGTAGTCCTAAACTTATGCACCTTGGAGAACAAATATGGTCTACATCCAGACTCTCTAACATTATACCCTCCAAAACGCTTAATTTTTTAAGGATTAGCATAAGAGACGAAGCTAGGTCGCAGCGCTAGTATTCTTCCTCACTTAAACATTTCCTTCATCTCCTAAAATTGCTTATTTTATATATCGTGTTATCGCTATTCAATGCTTACACTCAGTGCCTTTCGCTTAGTTATAATTTATTTCATTTTATGTTCGCATCATCTCATTTGCACCTGGAATGCAACTCTGTGTGTGTATTGAAAAGTTATAGTTGAACTTGAATTAAACTAATCTTTTATTTTCTCCCTCTCCTCTCTCTCTCTCTCTCTGCCCACGCGCTCGTTCCCTCGCCATAGTGATCATCAATCTCTGCTGGGTGTACGCCTGCCACCCGATACGGAAATCATCAAATACACGTCGTCCATTGTGGGACCCAAAATACCCGGTACTACGTCACGTGGTCGCAAAAAGACTATTTCAGACGAACAACAACAGCAACAATTACTCGCACAACAACAACTTCAACAGCAACAACAATTGCAAAAACAAGAGCTCGACGCTACAACAAATGCACTTTCCTCTTTGCTTGCGATTCCAGGGCTTAGCCCGGCTAAGCGTGCCCGCCTCGAAATGGAGTACGCAGCAATGGCGGCGGCGGTGAATGTTGCTCAACAGCAACAACACCAACAGCAGGTG